CAGATCGAGAATTCCAATGCTTGTGAGAAAACACCCGGTACGAAAACCGAATCTAATCTCGCAAGCACAGCGCATATACTCACTTCTTCATAATTGCGTAACGCAGCGCATTGCCCATGGTGTGGCCTTCGCCTTCGAATTGGAATGAAGCGGCGGTTTCGGTAGCGCCGGGGAGCTGTTGAAAATAATGGTATTAGCTTGGTGTTTTGTTGTCTTTAGGCATATCCGAAGATCTATCAATCCTAGGATTCAATCGGATATCCGCAGAGCAGATACGTACCACGACAATCTGTCTCTCCTCGAGGATGGGGTCGTTGGACTGGGGAAGCTCGGTGGGCTGCTCTGCGTCGACCATGGACTGGTCCAGATCTTGAGAGTGGACAGATTCAGGCATTGTGTTGGATTTGGTGAGGTGTGTGAGGTATGTAGGTTTGATCTAATGAGTTCGACGCTTTGTCGAGGGCTGTTCGAGTGGATGCGGAAGTTGGAGTTGGAGTTGGTGGCTGGTGGCTGGCTGGATTGTGATTTGCAAGACAGTAGGTTAATGTCTTTACCGTCGTTTGGTTTGAAAGGTCGAGGTTCTAGCCTAACAAATTTGCGCGATCTGGATCTCCAAGTCGAAGATTATCGCGAAGAAAAAAAGGTGGGTTATCGATAGTCGGTTCTCACCGCCTACTCTTTTTGGCATCTATAAAATTGTGTTGGTGAGATCTTGTCTTTTGTGAAGATAAAGAAGGTGATGATCCTTTCTAGAAGCTTGTGGATATTAGATTTGTATAGAATTATTAGTTGTGTATCGTTGTGTGTTCAAAAAGTTGCTAACCTATGTTGTATGGGATCACTACTCCTTACAGTCTATGCCTGTTAACCATAGTCCCCCACTACAAAGTACATATGCACATGATAATGCTGAGAATTTGGTTCAAGTATAGAGCCTCTTCACATGCAAGATTATATACTCTTCATGTCGGAGTATGAACGATCTATTCCTACTCTGTACCCACCTGCAGCACCTACATATGTATGTAGGTATGGAGTACGGAGTACGGAGTAACGAGTTTGATAATATACAATGTCCACCAACAAGGATATGTCTCTCAGATAGATTAATAAAAGAGTGCTGACCCATTTGAAAAGTTTGAACGGTTCCAGTAATAAGGGATTTATGAAACAAAGGGCATGTTGGGCTGAGGCTTTGTATGGAGTACGTATCCAAAGGATTTCCAAGGGCTCCATAATGGCCCCGGGGCCCGAACTTTGGGAAAAATATAAGCCATTTGTCATCTTCAATCCCCCCGGTAGACGCGTTCATGGGTACTCCGTACTTTGTACATAAGTACATAAGTAGACATGGGCATCACCTATTTAAGAACTACACAGATGATATGCAAGAGCTGGAACCCGGGCACGCACCCATGGTCCGTGCATTTACGAACGCAGGGCCATGACAGGCCAATCGAGTGGGCACCTCTAATTTCAGTGACCAGGTTGGATGGTGTTAGTGTATTCCTAGGGAGTACAGAGTATTCTGCATGGAGTAGGGATTTCCCCAATAGGGCAACCTGTGAGCAGGATCTAAACTGGATCAACTATAAAGTAAACTGGAACAAATATTTTTTTTTCTCGATCAGTTTCAGTTTCGGTTTCAGTGGTGTTTAGGGTGTTGTACCCGCACAGGTGACTTGTTTGGACGCCACACACTAGTGGCCCCTTTTGATATAAGCGCCCGCTGCGCCTTGTTTGACATATAACGCTGTGGGAGTGGATGGAGGTGATGTGACTTGTTTTTTTTAATCATTTTGTGTGTGCTGAGTTCTGCGGGATTGTGTTGGGGGAATATGATTCGATAAATTTGGATAATCAGCAGGTGCTAGTAATATTTGCTTGTTATACTACTGTTAGAGAAGGGATCCACAATCCTAATAGGCGAATTATAGAAGGAAAAAGGGAAATGGGGCTGGAAATGATATAATCATATAATCAGTAGGTGTCAGGTTCTGAAACTATTGAATAGAGAAGTTAATAGTACGGAGATTTATATTAAAGTATACTCCGTACGGAGTACAAAGTACTCCATAGTACTCTATATTACTCTATATCTTAAGTAAATATGTAGTTTATATACGTATACTCCGTATAATAAATACTAAAATAATAAAATGAACGGTGGACCCCCCTGGAACAGAAACACATCGTGTCTCAGTTTGGATCCACCAGGAAAGTCGGGTATCTGGTACTTAGCTGGGGAGCCCGCTGATGCCTCTTTCCCCTCTTTGTGCTTCTTGGGATTAACGTACTGGGTACTTCATTTTAACTTACACTACTCCGTACTCCATACGGGTTACGAAGTACTTAGAGTATTACCCCCTGGATAGCTTTGGATCTCATCTCCATCTTTCCCTTTTGATTTTTGATTTTTGATTTTTTTTTTAAACTCCAGGGCCCAGACTACTGAACCCCCCTCCTTCACATTTCGTCCATTTCTCTCGCTTGTAACTTCTGGACTCCTCTTGTCACACTGCCGCCTGACGCCTAACCGCCCTTCTCTCCATCTTTGGGAGATTGTTCTGCTCTCCAACTTGGATATATCGACCTGGCCGATCCCACGTTTCGATCCGCTTTCCGGACTTTGCCCGCATCGATTCCAGATGCCCTTGCATCCTAAGGAGATTTATCAAGTCAATACACAGTGAAGTACTTCGTACTTGCACCATCACTTGCGTCGTGATACCGTACCCGGAGGAACTCGAATCATCGTCTCCGCCATGTCCACCGCAGTTGCATCCGCAGCGGCGGCCCCCTTGTCATCACCACACCCTACTCGCAACCCTAGCCCGAGAAACCTCCCGTCTTTGGCTCCTCCGAACAATATCCCGTCCAATTTCTCTCCGCCCCGAATGTCCAAAAGCCCCAAGCATGGATCCGCGGTACACGGTTCCCCGACCGAGAAGGGAGGTCCAGCGTCTCCGTAAGTTGAGAGATTCATCATGGAATCGGAGCTTCACATACTGACATTATCCTCAGATCCCAAGGTGGCACCGGAGGCCCACAAATTACTGTAAAGAAGGAACCGGGTTCCTCCCCACGGATGCAGAGTCGGCCCCGGCCTCGGAAATTGGACCTTTCGACTAGTCTACCATCCTCCAGTGGTTTGTCCGTTCGTCCTCCAGGGGGACCTTTGACAGCCTCGATGCAACATGTAGGCCTGGCGTGTCTGTCGCCTGGTTTCCAGACCCACGATCCGATCATGCGAGAGCAGCTGCAGCGCAGCCTCTCCGTGCGGGATCAGCAACGGTCGATCATTGAACAGCGCATGCAGAGATCCGCCAAGGATGATGGCCCGGATGGTATTAAGCCTTCCGAGTCGAATTTGATGGGTATGCCCAAGACCGGAAAGCGCAGACCTCCGGCCGGCCTATCCATCGTCCCTCCATCCGCCTCCCAGTTCGCAAACGAGCGAGTCATCCAATCTGCTCCGCTACACCAGACTTTTACTGGCAGGTACCAGCCACAGCCATTGACCCGCCACGTTGTCAATCAGAGCCCGACCTTGGGCTCGACCTCCCACATGCATCAGCTGCCGGCGACCCAAACAAACAATCGTCTTCCTCCCCTCTCCGACGTCTTCGGTTCCGATACATTGGGTCGCGACCGGGATTCTGGACACGTGAATATGCACTTGAACGCATCGAGCACCAACTCCTCCCAATCCAACAACTTGGCGCCGATGCCCTCCCCTGGTCTGCCAGGTACCATGTCCCAAACTCCCAACCGACCGCGCGAATACCACTCAGCCGAAGAGGCCGTGCAAGAGATGTCCGGTGGACGAGAGGAGCTGCTGCCTCGTATTGTCCACTATGGAGGACACCAACCTCCCACCCCGCCATCCCCACAAATACTCCACGCAGGCCCCAAAACCGCGCCTCTTGCCCCGGAACCCCAAGCGCCCAACGGTCCCCCTCCTGCCTCCTTTGGTATGTTCGCTCCATCCGATGTTACAGCACGCCGGCGCCCTCGGAGTGAGTATGAACGCGACAACGGAAGTCCGCCGCTGGGTCATGGCCCGGACTCTCAACACCGGTCCAACCCAGCTGCCATGCCCGGTCCACATGCTTCGTTCCCTGGGCCTTTCGGCGCAGGAAGAGACTCGCCCGAAACGCAGCGGAGAAAGAAGGATGAATTTCTGGGTCTCTGCGCACGGGCTTGGGATCTGTTCCACTCGTGATACGACATTGCTCTTTTAGTTTCAGACGCAATGCCTCTTGGGGAGGCCTAGGATTGGCTTTGCTTCGGGGGTTTCAAGTAATGATGGAATTTGCTTGAACCTACTTGCTAGCAAATGTCCGACCCAACAGATCATCTCCGATGCTATCATCTTATATATCATTACATCTGAGGAGTTTGCTGCCTTGGAATGCAAAGACCTTTGATGCTATAAGTCCCAGGCACTCATTTGGTCTTATTGGCAAGTCCAATTCCAAATGATTCCATGCCTGGGCAAATGTGAATGTCCGCTATCCCCCGACTCATCCCGGACGATCGAGTCGGGAAACCCTTCCCACTACACCAATGATGCTTGCATCAATATCATGTTATCTATGCTACGACAGTATTGGCAGGGCACCTTGGCACCCTGTAAAAATTTTGTGTTCGGGTTCTTTTCTGCATCAAGTTTGCTTTGGGCGTTGGGGGTTCTATGCTTCGTACTATACCTTTTGGACTTGTTTTTGTGAGATAAAGCATCATGGTAATGAGTTCTCTGCCTCTTACTGGCCTTTTTCAAATGCCTTCTTTTCTTTTCTTTGCAACTTTTTGCTCTTGCTACCATATTGGTCGTCAGCTCCGAGACTGGTAATCCTAATGGACACATCACTCAAGATCATACAGACAAAATACACATACCCGTGGACATGTAGACAGATATTGAATATTCATATGCATAATACTATGTGCTTTTCATTCCCAGACAGATCAACGCCATAACCCAATACAAAAAAGGTCTACTCCAACCTCCGTCTCTTTCCCCCGTTAGGCATACCCCCATCCTGACCACCACCACCACCCTCAGCCCCCCTCCTCTCCCAAGGCATCTCCTTCCTCTCCTTAGAAGTCATCTTCTTCCGCCTCCTCTCAAGCGCCTTAGCCCGCTCCCTCGATCCCATCTCCTCATACTTCCTCTCAAGAACCTGCTTCTGCAACTCCGAATTCTTAAGATAGTAAGGATTAGCCTTCTTGCCCTCCCGAATCAACTGCTTCTCCCGTTTCTTATGCTCAGCCTGCACATCCGCCTCCCGCTTCTTATTCTGCGCAGACCGCAACTTATCCTGCGCCCGTCGAATCTCCCCCTTAAGCTTCTCCTTCTGCTGAAGATTCTTCGTCTTCCTCATCTGCTCCTTCAAATCATTCAGCTCAGACGCCCGGTACTCGTCCAGGAACGCATACGCAGTCCCGCCATGCGGGTGTTTCCCAACACCGCTGTGGCCCATGACCGCCGCGTCGAAGCGCGGGTCTCGGGATCGAGGAGCGGGAGGGAGTTCGACGGCTATGCGCTTGCGTGTCACGGCCCGTTTGGAGGATTGCTCCATCGGTGCGTGCTTGGAGGTTCTTTTCTTTTCTTTGGTTTTGGTTTTCGAGGCCGCTTCGAGCTTTTGTTCGCGTGCTTCGCGGAGCTTCGTACGGATGTCGTCTAGTGTTGAGGATGTGTCGTCTTTAGATGTGCGCTTTTCTTTGCGGTTCTTCTCGCGCATTGAGGCTTGCGCTTTGGCGAGCGCGCCGAAGGAGATGTCGGCTAGTGAGGCTTTGAAGTCGTCGCCGGAGTCGTGCTCGGATTCGGGCTCTTCTTCGTTGTCGGAGTTGCTGGCTTCGGACTCGGAGCCAGTGCCTGTGCCTTCGGCTTCGGAGTCATCTGCGGGCTGCATTGTTTGTTAGTTGTGATTCTGAAGTAAACGTATGGCTAGCTTACTGATTGCATGGAACCGTTGGATTCGGCATCAGAGCCATCCTGCGAACCATCCTCGGAACCTGATGCCTCGGAGAAGACCTCTTCATCTTCTGGCCGAGCTCGCACTCGGCGATTGAGTAGATCGGTTATAGCCATTTTGTTGTTGCTGTAGTTGGAAACCCCCGCGGAGGAAGAAGAACTGCAAAAAGAAAAATATTGCCGCTCGGGGCGGTGTGAGCGATAAGAACTGATTAGATGTTTTTCGCGATGATCTGATGTTGCGACGGACGTTCTTAACTGATTTGCGTTTGTTGTTTTTATAAATGTCCCTGAATGCTCTGAGTGGTCGAGCTTTCCCTCACTTCCCACTGATAAATTCCTTGTCGCCTCACTCTCAGCCTCTTCCCAGAGCAACCAATCAGGTATTGCCTCCACTACTATCCGCTACGTGGATAGCATGTTTGCCAATTGTTGATTTATTCTGACTTGTTATTAAATAGCTTCGCGCACACGCAGTGTCAAATTCTGGCGCTCCAAAATCACGACTTCGGTTCTCTACTTTACTCTCGTCACGTCCCACGTCCTTCAAGCTGTCTCGCGCAAACAAAAGATCGAAGCGTGCGTCTAACGCCGCGGAACTCGAACACCAGTCGAATTCGATCCCGCAGTATGCCAATTCGGCCTACTATGTGGTGAATATGAAACCTCCTTCAACACAGAATGGACGGGCGGCCAGCCGGCCGGCACCCTCACACGGCTCTTGGGACCGCAATGCGCCCCCTCGGGATACACATCGCAGTGTGGGGTATGGGGACTATCCTGTGCAAGGCAATCCTCCACCGTCGCAGTACACCCCCACGCCCAATATGAACTCGAATTTTGGTTATCAGATCCCACAGGCCAGTCAAACGTCACAGGCCTATCAATCTCAGGGCCACGCTCCTACCATGCAACAGCACCAACCACAAATGCCTTCAGGACAAGGCCAACAACAATTCGGCGCATTCAATACCTTGCCACAAGATCCAATGAGCATGGATCAAGCTTTCTTCCAAATGGCGCAGAATATGCCCTGGATGTATCCGGGCTTTGATAGCGGGATGCCATTCCCACCCCCATTTCCTCTCCTCCCCTTCGATATGAATACCCCACTACCCTTCCAAAACACCCGACCCATGAGCACGATGGCCGGTGGTGGAGGACAACGGTTCACACCCGATCTTCAAAGACAACGATCGCCAACGCCGCCAGTCAAGGTCCCACTTCCAACACTGCAATACACAAATCAAGCTTCATTGAAGCCAGAGAAGACTGAAAAACGACCACTCCTCGTCATCCTCGATCTCAACGGCACCCTCATCTACCGCAAGCTTCGCAAATTCCCACCGAAATTCGCCAGACGCGCCGGTCTAGATCATTTCCTAACCACGCTAGTCAAAAACTACAAAGTCATGATCTGGTCTAGCTCCCAGCCCCCGACTGTAAACGCAGTTTGTGAGCAAATATTCCCAGGTCCTATGCACGACGCCCTCGTCGCCCGCTGGGGACGCGACAAATTTGGCCTCACCGCCGGTCAATACAACAAAAAACTCCAGGTCTACAAGGAGCTGCACAAAGTGTGGGCAGAGACAAATATCCAAGGCGCATTCCCAGGCAACGAGCATCTGAAAGACCCCCCGGCCCCATCACCAAGCGCCCGACCACCACACAAGAATCGCAAGCAAAAACTTCGCGACGCTGAAGCTGCCAAGCTTCCCGCGGGCCACCGCTGGGACCAGACGAATACCATCCTTATCGATGATAGTAAACTCAAGGCTTCTAGCGAGCCGTTCAATATCCTCGAGATCCCGGAGTTCGCTGGTGATCCCGATATCGATGAGACGAAGCTCTTCGCCAAGGTCCTCGCCCGCCTTGATTATCTCGCCCACCACGACGACGTGAGCAAAGTCCTCCGTGTTTGGAACGAGCGTGTGGACAAGGGCGAGGGTAGTATTCTCGAATTGGATATTGGGATCCGTGAGGGTTCTGTCGACAACGAGGACGGCGGGATTAGTCTCCTTCCGAAGCAGTTAGATGGCAACCCCAATGGCGATCTCATGGCCTTTGATGGCGCGGGTGACGTCCCTACTCCCCCAACTGCTAAGCGCAAGGCCAAGAAAAATAAAAAGGCCAAGGCAAGAGCAAAGGCGGCCGCAGAGAATCCCCCAAATACGGCAACTGCCAGCGCTGCACCCACCAACCCGAACCCGCCAGCCACAAAGCCAACACAACAACCTCAGCAGAAAACAGAAGACCAAAAGACTGAAATCAAAATGTCTCGCAAAGCGCGCAAAAGAGCCAGGGAGGAAGAAAGTCTCGCCATAAAGGCTGCCGCCGAAGCGGAATACATAAAGACACACGGGATTCCAACACCGAGCTACGACAACATAACGAGCAACCAACCCGTCGCCAGCATCGAAGCAGAAGCACCCGGTCAAGTTCATGTTCGAGTTGGCACAAGCCAGAAATCCATTCGTCGCAGACAGAAGGCCGCAAACAAAAGGGCCCAGTGGGAAGTTGATCCTCCCACGCCTCCTCCTGGATCTCAGACTGCACAAGAAAGATACAATTTCCGGAAGAGAAGTGATGCTGCTCCTCCTCCCGAGCTTAATGCTGAATCTGTCTCTGGCTCTGGTTCCAAGACGGTCTTCGAATCCGCCTCCGCAGCTGCCCACGCCGCCAATGCTGCAAAGATCATAAAAAGCGGATTATCACCTGAATATCTCCCTCAAGACGCGGACGTGACTGTTGGTATGGAATTAGATGTTGATGCATATGTCCCACCGGGTGCTGTGACTGCGTCGAGAACTAAGCATAACCGCTCGCCGTCCCCGGTTTCATCGGTTGAATCACGGAATTCGTTGCTTGATCGGCTTGAAGAGGGGCTTGGGATTGGTATTGTGAAGCGTTGAGGTTGTGCAGTTGTTATCAAGGTTGATGTGTGGATTCCGAGAGGGGTCTTTTTTTATGTTTTCCATTCTTGTTATTCATAGATATCCCGTCCTTTGTATTTTTGCCTCTTTAGAGGTCTTGGTGAGTAGTTCATATGTATGCATAGTCAAGCCATTGACCCATACCGTACCATCTCAGTCTTGTTTGTTTGTATGTAGAGTGAAGTAGACTAATAAGGAAGATTAAATGCAAATGAACCCTAGGAGAAGGTTACTATATTCTTGTTATATATATAGCTATAGTTATTCTCCAAATGTTCCCCCCCAGACGTTTCTACCTGTATCTTGAAATGTTGGTCCCTTGGTCAGCTGAAATTTAAGAACAGTCTGATAAAGAAGAGGAATTTCGCCCTCTTTATCTCAGAAGACAGCTCGGTTCATCGATGACCTGAGAGCTCAGTTCACCGGATGACTAAGAATGTCATGTGACTTTGTTTGTCATATGACGCCCAGTGAACTACAGTGACTACGCAAAAGTGTTAACACCCCTTGAGACCCACCTATCCCACCGCCCGTAGCTCGGCTCTACCGCCTACCAAACCCTTACCCAAGTCATGCTATAAGGCGCCAAACTATCTGGAGCTCCCCTTAAAAATCCGCTCCAGAGTTTCCAAGTGTGTTTTCTATTCAGCAGGGTAGTTTTTAGCATGATAGGTAAGCCATAAGTGCTACCTAGAGAATCTTGGACGGATATTTAGTCCGGCAGAATATTATATAAGCATACAGTGTGGGGCCTGGGGTGTTAAAACTTTTGCGTAGAGACTGTAAGCTCTGGATTTTTAATACCCTTTCAAAACATTACCCTCACCGCTTCCTTTACTAGTTCATACCTAGTTCACATATTGACACCGCCTCATTTCTGCCTGGTTTTTCAATATATCTACGCTTAGATCCTCTATAAGTGATACCTCTTAATAGAATTAGATGAAAAGGGGTTAAAAACTAATGAATTTCCCTTATAGGTGGCCTTCTTATAAGTGGTATCTTATATAGTCTAAGAGGACTGCTAAAGGCGTATAGACTAATATAATATATAATATAAATAGTAGACTGCGACATCGCCCATGGATGGGCGGGTGGGCATTGCCCACAGGCCTTATATAAGCGGGAAATGGGCCCTACCCTTAGGGCCCATAGGCCTTAGGCGTTGTGGGCGCCTATAGGCCTTTTTAGTAAGCAGAATTTCTTGACCTTATGACCTATATTATTTATGCATTTTTCTCTATATTTTTAAGTAATTTGATTATATATATAATGACTTAATACTACGTCCTCATATGGTTGACACTTCAAATGAAATCCGCAGGGAGTGAAGCCTAGTAGACCAGCAGTGGGTCGCCGATGGAAATGAGGCTGTCTATGCCCAGGATTGGTGGGATCAATAGTTCCGAGACCGGCTTCAGCATATTGGAACAACGAATACCAATTGGGCCCTTGACCGGATAGCCGACATGAGACGACTGTGGGCAGTGAGGACGGGATCCAATGTTACACCTACTATCGAGATCCTGGACAAGTTGAAAGCGGATGCCACGGATATGAAGATTGACATGGATGATCTAGATTGAAACTGAATAACCGTGTGAATTGATAGATACATGTATATAGTTCATACAAGATGTCTTTTAAACCGTGTTTCAATGAGCTTGGGCAATGGGCCTTGATAACACAGCAATTCATGCTGCTATAGAGGACGTAGAGGATGGATGACGATAGTGACTTTTTTTGACATTGCGTCGACCGTGTCTTGGATGGTTGATTGACCGGGCGGTTCAATGCAATAAACAATTTCGGTCGCAGAGCCGACAATATGCAGCTATTGAATCTTGGGTGTAGTTACTGCAGTATTCAAGTCCCACATGACATGAAAAATTCACAAAACATCAGTACCGTCGGGTCTCATCGAATAACTGTCCTTCATATAAGCCGTGTCCTGCATATCCGACCACACCTCGAACAACGAGGACAGGGAACACTTCATCCACCCTGGAAAATCCTCATATGGATCTATCTCCAACGCCTCGATGAGTTTCACATAATGACGTCTCTTCTCTTCGTATTTCGAGTTCTCTGGAAGGGGAGCGTTTTGTAACGTTTGGAAACTTTCTTCGTCAATGACAATAAACATGCGATACCCAGGAAATACATCGAGCACACCACGCTCAATTGCGTCGGCCCTGAAATGCTCGCGGAGCTGGTCGATCGATACTCCGTCGAACTGGGAAGCATCTTCAATGACCCGTGGCTGGTAATTGGGCCACATTTCATCCCAGGGAGTGATGTTGAACTCATTTGCATTGGATCTTTCGCGAAGGGAAGATTCGTATTCCCCGTAGAATCCGTTCTTCATGTACTTTGTGGTGAGGTCGACCATACGTGGGAAAGCAGCATTAGATTGGGGAGTGTAGGTCGTCCGGTAGATTGTGTAGCCCCAGGTGGGCTCAGAGTAATGGAGCCAGTCATAGATGTTACGAATGGACCATGGAAGCCAAGGGTATTGCTTCATCGGCTTTTGAAGTAGCGACATGATGGGTCGACTTAGGATGTTGCGGTGGTTCAGAGGTGAGCTGAGGACGGAAAAAAGCCCGGCCTCATTGGAACCTTAGAAGGATCGCTTTATAGTTCAGAGTGTCACTAGACCCAAATCGGCCGTATATCACGTGATTATATTGTGCCGGCTTTGTGCTCCCGACAGGTTTGTAGGGTTTACTTATCCTCCTTTACTTATACTTTTCTGGAAAGCGGTCATCGATGGTAGAACTGCGATTATCATCTCTCAGATTGTGATACTATAGGCCTTACGTATTATAGATAGGTACTTAAAAATCTAAATAGCCTACTGCCTACTGTGGATAGGTGATAGATACCTTCTAGGTGGGTATGGATAGGCGATTGTTACGGACCTACCCGTCACCAACCAGTGGTGACCCACAAGGCACACCGATGGGCCACCGAGAGCCAACCAAGAAGATCAGTCATCACTCACGTGCAGTACGATGGCAGAAAGGGGCCGGCTAGAAGGCAGCCACTTTCGGCCTGCGATCAGCAAATGGCAATTCTACTCTACAAGAACTTGGAGTACTCTTGACCGCCCAGATCACGTGACCGTGACCCCCTACCGATGCCAAGCAGGAGTAGGAAGTCACCGTGACTCCAGTAGATATACCCCCGGGGGGTATATCCTAGGGAGTAGGAACGAAGGATATATAAGGACACTCTTTCATGTACTTAGTTTAGTTCTTCGTCTTCAATCATCCATTGTTACTTGTGTATACCTTACGAACTTGTTGACTCATCTACTATATTATCACTTGACAACACCTACGAGCAGACCAATACTGCGGTATAGATCTACTCGGCGCTCTACCTGGCATCGTTCCCTGATACCCCCAAAAGGACTTAGGCTGGATAAGACTGTGCGCAGCAACAGCTCGGTTGAGGAGCAGATCATTGACGTTGGAGGACCAGCACAGGCAAGTATAAGGAGGAAAGCTTCTAACATAACCGTGACCAGTTAGGCAGTGCGTAACAGCGATGTCGTAGTCTAAACCTAACCTTACCCAAAACCTATTGTTAGGTCGGAGCAATGGACCCAAAACCCATTTTGGGTTGGGTTGGGTTGGGTTGGGTTGGGTCTGGGTTAGAGTGGGTTGTGCCGAAGTCTACTATACTATCGTAGAAGGAGTTAGCAATATTTAAGGATTATATCGATAAGAACCTAAAGAAAGGTTATATCTAGGCCTTAAAGTTCATGAGAGTGGTCGTTGATGTATCGTATGTATTGTGTTCTTCCCAATAAATAGTTCTTATCACCATCCTCCTCGACACGGACGATGCAAGACGAGACGCGACACGACAGGCAATTGATGCAATGCGTGGTCTTGGTGCCATAGTAATCGAAGATCTCGAATTCACTCATTGGGAGACGTATGAACAGAGGATAGAGGGTAAAGAATGACGCCGAGCTTTTAGAGTGCAACTAAGGGATAGTATGATAAGCCAACCCTAATCCCGTATGTCTGCCCAAGCTAACATTCCATTACCTTTTTCGATAGACATGGCAAAATTCTTCAACTCATTCGATTCAAAGACAGTGGACATGCGAGCACTGGCCGATTTCATCAAATATACAAAGGATACTCCTGAAGAGTGCAGTGAGGAATATGGTACTGAAGAGGGGCTTGCAGCAGAAAACACACAGTCTAGCCGCGACTGAGAAGAATATATCGCATCGTTGACTCGAAGGCTGGAAATGGGCGCTCAGTTCAAGGAATTACTTGATTGTTCTACTTGTCTTCTGCATCGAGTTGGCATCCAGGAATGACCGGTGGTTATCCCGCGATCTCAGTTCCTATTGGCGTTTTCCCGGTAGATACACCAGAAGCAAGGTCTCGAACTGGTCTAATGCAACAAGCTCCTGGAATTCCGTAAGTGAAGTTCTCTTGTGTGAATCCGACTAATAATAGGAGTTAGATTCAGCATTGTCATGGCAGCGAGGCGGTGGGATGAACAAAAACTGATTGAGATGGCACATGCATTTGAACAAGCCATAGTCATTGGAGAAAGGCTGCATCTAAGGATTGAGCCAACTGCTGAAGTGCCATTAAGCAGTGACTGAGCACAGAAATAGATGGTATGAGAGTACATTCCCTTGATATCTCGACGTATTTATGGATTCAACATCTATTTATAGTGTGTCTTTAGAAGTATGTCTTACGTTCCACTGTCTATCGAGTTCTTTGATAGATCTCTCTGATTAGCTCTCGGAGTTAGGTTTATGTTGTAAACGGACCTGTGAATTACCATATGCGGTTAGTTTTGCCTTTTTGGGTTTAGCTCCCAAATAATGTTATGCATGTTCAGGTGTGGGCGCAGCAAATTCTTGGCGGGATCCACAGTCCACGAGTTCACAGCGGAATCGCCAAGACCTGTCAGGGGCTGACGCGCCGTTATTGCGTGGTTCTTTCCCCCCGAACTTCGTACTCGTTTATCGCGTCAAGGCCTACGTTCTATTAGCTATTCAGCCTCAAGAGCTTGGTATTTGCCTATAATATGGGCTCTGGAGAGCATACTTATTACTCCAGGGCTCCAGCGTTCGTCCAATTGGACCCACTACTATTAAATACTAATTGCAGAAATACCGCCTCCGGGGCTAGCACAACACCTCCATGGGCAATTCTTACTTCTCGTGTGTGGCTTAATTATCAGCCCTGTAAATGCAGATCACTAAATGGGGGCGAAGGCTTTTGTGACGGGTGGGCTACCTGATCTAGTTAGTAGCTTCAGACTCGTTTGCAGCTCGCGAAAACGCCCAAGCCAGGCAGGTTGTCTAGTGAGCGACTTTCTCGTTCCATTCTGTACTCTCCAGAGCTCCAGTTAGGATAATCTCGACTATTGACATAAGTAAATTAAAACAACTCGGAAAAGCAGGCGGGGTTCTCTTCGTGATACATTCTCATACGGGTTTGTTATTTTTCATACGCTAGGATTTCACTCGGAGGATGGGAATTCATTTAGTGGGGAGGCTCAGCATGCTAACGTTCAGGCTATCGATACAAATGAGAGGAGACATTTCTTCATAAAAACACATTCCATTACCAACGAGAGTCCACACATCTGAGTAGTTTAGAAGAAGGCTCCGTCGGCATATTTTCCACGACTAAACCACGATCCCGGGCAATTCCATAGAGGGTCTCACACCCTCGGCGTGCTTGTTGCAGTAGGTTCTCTGGTGCCGGAGTCTCCTTCTTACCCCATGTGGCAGAGTCACTCTCTCCATAATGAAGATCAAGAACAAAGGCAAGACGCTCAAGCTTCGGAAGAAAGGTGGGCGATCTGAAAGCCTGTAGCCAGTCGGCCCAATGTTCTGAAGTGGCCAGCGAGACGGGTCCACGAAAGTACAGGGTAGTCAGGTTTGGTGGGAGAAGCTTGTGAAGAGTGGGCAAGAACTGAGGATCTTCAAAGATCTCACCCACAGTGAAGTTAAGCACTTGGAGATTTTCCATGAGCGGCAAGAGTTGACGAAATGTCTCTTCTGACGTCAACCCGAAATCGAGGCCCGAGGTGGACCGAAGCCGCAAGGTATGAAGGTTTTCAACGATATACGGGAGGGCGGCGGACATGCGGCAGAATGTGTCAAGCGCGTCGTTTTCCCAAATTTCTAGTGTCTTCAGGTTGATAGGACCGGCAGGTGGTTCGTTCTCGGGCTTGCGATCGGGATCTGCGTAGATCTTCTGCATGTGGTTGACCACAAGCTCAGGTACATAAGTAATCTTGATCCCCTTATGGGTGTCTTCGTTCTCATTCGTTTCTTGAGTTTTTGATTCGTCATGTAGTCGAGTAAGCTCGTCGGTTGTAGGGCCCTCGAATCGAAGGTTACATGTGAAAAACAAGGACAAGTGCGAAACCAATCCCTGACGGATGAACGGGCTTTGGATGAGTTCACCACAAGCAGAGCTCAGGGTCAATTTATTCAAAGGCCAGTGAAGAGGGAGTTTCTTGTCATCGAGATCTTCGTTGAATCCGCTTTCTAGCTCCAGCTCCTCCACATTCTTTAGATGAGCGCTGAGTAATGCCCATTCTGCGTCTGATGGAGTGTCCTCGTCTATCACCAAGTTTGTAACTGTGGGAGAGATGGATTGCAGTTGATCTTTCAGGCAAGTCTCATGGTCAGGTTTGGTTGCTTCCCAGGGACCCTGGACCTTGATCACTACTGGTGGAATGTGGGCCATAGCGGAGGCGGGTCGGCTGAACGGGTAGATGTGTTGGGGTAAGAAGTTGAAGGACGTTTTGAACCCGCACTGCGAAACGATGTGAAGTTTCTTGAAAGATATTCTTGAAGCAAACTGGATCATATTTGTAATGGGTCAGATGAATCCGTAATTCTGCTTTGGTGACGTCGGGGACTCGATTGGGTAACAGTAACAGAAACGCGTTCCCCTTGATCCGAGTGGAGGACCTAAGCAGAGCCTCACGCCAAGGATGATCAACAAAGTCCTGTGATGAGTGTCAACAAAGCCAGGATTCCAACCAAAAGTAGGAAAAAGTACAAATAGGAATCTACAATACGGATGAGAGGACCTCATATGGGATGCTGTCTCACTATTTGTTCAGGCAGGAAGATTCACTAAGCGAATGATTGAACTTGAAGCGAGTACAACTTCCAGTTGACAAGGATGACATTAACCTGGAAAAAAGAAAATAATTTACAAGATTGATTCTCGCTATGGAGGATCTGAAAAATGCTAAGCGAATATCTCGATGTACATGTGTATCAACAATCCCAGCTCTCTAAGAACTTTCTGGTGCGGTCCCCTGTCTGTTCCAGTAACTTCAGCTTCTCCTCTACCTTTAGCCCAGTGGAGTCCGTACGACGAAGAGCATAGATCAACGACTTTTCCAGATGAGAGCTGCCACGATGTCTTTCGGTGACATATTTTAACGCATTCAGCAACATGTTCTCTCGTCGCACGGCATCCTCCGAGGCGGAGTTGTCCTTTGGCAGGACGCATTTTTGGATCGCGAGGTGGACATTGTCAGGGAATCCGACCAGGGAAGCTCTCAACGCGAGCCAATCCGCGCGCATGTAATCCCGTTCATTGAAGATGTTCGAATCATCATCCTCGCACAAGTCCATCTCAGGAATGAGGATGTCTTGATCTTCCTCTGGGGGCCAGGAGGCGTTGTACCAGTTGCTCATGCAGGTCAGGTATGACGTGTCGGCATATTTAACGCCCTTGGCTTGCTTTCTCCAGTACCAGCCCTCCAGAGTCTGCAGTCCGTCATCCGACCAGGAACATGGGACTTTGGGATCCTTCACTCGCTTGAAGCCTTTCAGGGCGGCGGGCTGGTAGTTCAGGACCTTGCCCTCACCGTGCGCCTCGCGGTACGACTTGCCCATTGCATATGCAACGACAGGGTGGATGAACTCCTTTGTATCTCCGTCTTTCTTGTATTGACCCGGAGTGCGAATGACAGACCCGCTGTAACCCGTCACAGAGTCGATGCTGTCAGGTCGGTACCCCATGCCCCAGCCGCCGTACGCGGTGGGGTTCTTGGGATCAGGCACGTCCTGGCTCCATTTGGTCGGGTCGATTTTTTTCGCAATATGGCATTTGGAATCACCCTCCTTGAAGGCACGCTGTGAAAGGTCCACGATAGTACAGGTGTAGTGGTGGTAAAACTGTGCCAGCGCGTAGGTCTCAAAGGTGAGATTGGTGTGTTTGCGGATTTGATCGATCATCCAGACCAACGAGAGATTGGCCATGGATTCCATATCACCGTAATGCTCCATGGTAGACTCACTGCCACCACCGATGTTGATATGGTAGCCAGGGAACCAGCATTGCACCAGCTTGGTATAAACACCCTTAGGAAGGGACCACAGAGTGGGAGGGAACGCCTGTCGGTGCTCATCAAGAGCCAGGGCATGGAAGGCGTTCTTGATATTCTTGTGCAGGTTGGTGTCGTGGAAGCCGTACTTGGTCTCGTTTTTCTGATCCACCGACACATACTTGTTGGATGGCCATCCCAGGGCACCGACGGTATCAAACACGCCAACGACTTGGATCTCCACGTTCTTGTAGAAGCGGTCCTTCCAGTCCTTCTTCACATTGTACAGGCCCCAGGTGCTTTGCTGAATGGCGTCCGGAACATGCATGCCGTTTTGGTGAGGCTTTGGCTTCTCTTCTTTGGGGACCCTCTTCTTGTACTCGTCGTAGATCGCCCACCAATCATCCATCATATCTGGGAAACAAATTCCCATGTTGCAGACCATTCCTGCCACTGCGCGAGCTGTGTATGCACCGCGTGAGAAGCCGAAAATGAATATTTCATCACCGGGAAGCCAGTTGCTGACCTGTATGAGTGAGCTTAGGAATGACTGAAAAGAAAAGCATGGATCTAACATACCAAGAAGTTATAGGCCTCGCATACATTCTCCTCCACTCCTCTTCCGAAGGAGCCTTCGAAGACTTTCTGACTCTTTGCCAGAATCTTCTCAGGCGTCGACGCACCCTCTCTTGGGGCACTATTCCCAGTTCCAACGCCTGCATCATAGTAGACGATTTGGTGAATCACTTCTCCGCCGGTCTTTTCGCAACTGGCGATGGAGCGGCTCAACTTTGCAATGTTGGACGCGATATTTTTCTCTCCGTGGTTGGAGGATTGCCAGGAGCCATCGAGACAGAGAATCAATCTTCTCATGGGGCGGATTGGCTTGGCTTGCTCATGATCGTTGAACTCTATGTTCTCGCCTGAGAACAGTGGGTCGCTTTCCAGTGGCTGTACGAGCCGAGTATGAACCTTCTGCATTGTGTCCAGAAGTTTTGGAATGAAGATGCAATAAATGATATGCAGAAAAAGAGATATGGAGAGAAGGAAAAGTAGAAGGGGCGCTCAAGGACGGTCTTTTATCTCTACAACTGTTACGGATTGCTTCATCGGCATAGTGACCTTATTTTGGAAGGCCGCTGGGGTAGTTCATCTTTCACTCCTTTTTTGCCGACGGAATACGGGTTTTTGGCAGCAACCTACCTTATTTAGGTATCGTGTGATGCTATCACAGTGGCTTTGGTCTATCTTGAGCTGAAGAAAGTCAGCCCGCCACCATTCGCTAGCTAGCTCTCGACTTGCTCATATAGAGTCACCATAGCCGACAAGGGGCTTATATCCCGAGTCCACTTGCCACTCCCCCTTTTTATGACCCCCTTTTTATGACATATCGAGACTTCCCATGGTGGACAACAACATTTATCACAGTTCGGAGAAGTCCGTCGATTATCGCGTTCTTTTAGGAATGCCATCTAATGTTTGCGTGTTCGATTTCCCCTTTTCTGCACGCTTACGGCAACCTGTAAAGGCTTAGCGGTTGCTATGAATATCGACAGCAAGTATACGCACCTTGCGAGTCTTCTATCAAAAACAGTCTTTAAAATTACATATATACATACAACGGGTGTGAGAGGGTGAGGTTGTGCCCCGTAATTATCTCATGGAAGTCGCAGATATGGCCCGGCGTGGGCGGCTCGGCTCGCCTTATATTCCAACTTTGAGCTGATCGGTTTGATTCGCCAGTGTCGATCTACGAGAGCACCATGATAATTGCAATAGAGAGCTTTGGGCAACTTATTTTTCGGCTTCGTTGACCGGGTTCTCCACCTCCAGCTCGGTCCATTGGTAAAACAGCTTACGCGCGTCCGAGAGCTCAGCCTTCTTAGGTAGCTAAGGCTCGCGGGGCTAAACCCAGTTAGGCAACCTACGCCAGTCACTGCAAATGTCAATCTAGGGTCTCGGCAAATTTCTTTGACAATCCCCTTGGATCCTATTTTCTTTCCTAATCAATTTCTGGGAGTCCGTTACACACCATGGCCGGCAAGTGCGTCCACAAGGGATGTGGGAAGACCTTCTCCGATCCGGAGGAAGACTGCGTGTACCATCCGGGCTGTCATCGTGCCTGATTCCTCAAGTCACCGAATACATACCGCATCGGTGCCTTAAGGTCACATAATCTTTGTTCATCAACGCCAAAATCACATCGTCTCACCACAACCTAGTCAAGACGGAGTAGGAAAAGAGACATAAGAAAATTCATAAAGAAAACTGAGGAGAACACTCCAGCGGTAGAAATGGATTTGTGAAGAACGAGACAATCTCAGTCGAACCCATCTCACGAAAGCATTGCCTTCTTGTGTATACTCATTGACAGGACCAATTGTTGCATTTCTTTCTGCCTCTTTCCCAAGCGCAGCTTCTCGATTCCCACCCGCTTGTGAGGGGGCTTATATTTATAAAGATTGACGAACATGTTTGTCAGTCGAGATAGCTGCTGGGAATCGACCAGTGCAGGGTGGTTTCGGCCCGAGAGAGGATGGTTCTCTCTGAAAAGCAGTGGAAATAATGCAGGGAGGGATAGAGGAATGCCTTGCCTTGGTAGCAGGTTTTGCCGATCACCCTCTTCACGTTGGTACAGAACACTTTGGGAAGCAGGCAGAGATTCTCATCTTCGGGGTGAACGTCGTCAAACCCTTCATCCCGCTGTCACTCTCTTATATAAGATAAGTCAAAGCACCATGACGCCCAGGACATAAACTTTGTGTCTTGAGAAATGCCGACTTCTTTTAGTTTTTCAACTACTCTTTTGGCATTAAGCGTCCCTTATATAGTCGAAGAACGGAATCTTGCAACTGCAAACATCTTGGATTATAGGGAGAGGGCCAGACCCCGGATATTCCCACCAGCAGCGACGGGTTCGTAGTTAGCGGAACTTAGGGTTGTCAGTTCGTCGATTTTTGAAAATAGAATATTGAACTTAGGAACACCCATAAACTCCAAACAATATTGCCTTCACAAAGTCTTGAATTGCACAAAACTTACCACTTTGCTAAATTTCTCGAAGAAGCCACATAAATATAGACATATAAGACTGCGGAGTTGCGTGGGCGGAAAATTGAATCAAATTAAGCGGGGTTTTCTTTAAAAAACGAAGTGAAAAAAAGCGAAGTCGAAAGTTGAGACGATGGTTTGCTTTGCGGCACGAGGCCTGGACAGTCAGAAGTAATCACAGAAGATTACTTCTAACTGCCTATAGAGCTTGCCCACAAGCATTCAAGCATGGCTTTTGTGGAACCAGTCTCTCAATCCCTTTATGTGATCTCCTGATGCACGTAGATCTCGATACATACCCCCACCCCCACATATAGGACAAGTATAGTGTGCCCCCAGGAACAGAAGATGTCTTTCCTAGTGTCGACGATGCAACAAGACAGTTGATATATTATGACCGGAACTCGTTTGTGTAGTGCGAAAGGCTCTGCGTGGCTGAAAAAAAGCAAGAAGAAGTAGATAGAGAGATGTGAGTGGTTGGATCTGCCAACAGCCATGAAGCCCTTTATATGCTCCCTACAGACAAAGAGGGGTAGGCCTTTCATCTGCAGACAGGCAAACAAAGCCTTGCTGCCTGTGCATCATCCTTTTGTGTCAGAGTCGCTCAACCACAATAGTCTGCGTACATTATGGCCCTGATATCTCTGAGATGGGTCGCATGTATATTGACGTCTGTAAATGCAGATAATGAATCTAACATCGAACCACTGGGCCACAATGTGAGGGCCATCCCAGATGGTTATCCATACAATGTGCCCGCACACGACTGTAACTGGAGAGAGCCAATCCTGGTGATCTGTGAGATGTCGCACGAGGTCATCCCAATGGAGATCAGCAGCGGAGAGAACAAGCAATATATTTGCTGCACCCCTGTTCTGGACATTTTCAGTCAGGTCATGAAGAGGGGGTATTCCAGAGCGGTTGGAGGTCAGGAAGGTGAATCTTGTGGTAAACTTCAAAATTGCGGTGGACTGTTGCATTCCCACCATGGATCTGTGAGGTCGGCTTTGTTTTATGGACACTTCGCCATAGCATGAATTCTGGCTGAGATTATGAGAACGGCCAATGGCCGAATTTGACTGGAGTATCGATCAAGCAAATATGACGGGCAGAAGTTGAATTTGGAACAACGACATCTTGCGCGCATGACCCAGGATCTCGGATGCCTTTTGAATCGTACTGAGACGGGGCAGATACGAGTATCAGCCTCACGCTTTGCTTGGGCTCTTGTCTGCTTTCCGAGGACCAGTACGGTTGGCGGCGGTGGTGATCTGCGGGGTGTTCCGTAGATTTCCATATGCGGGGCATCTTTCTTCTTCGCCGTGTAATTGTGCCATTTTCGAGCCTTTGTAGACGATCAACTTGTGCTCGGTATTCACTTTGGCGGGTCTAGGGATGAGCGGCTCGGCCAGATTGCTGTGGAAGAGATATAGATATTGACAAAGGGGTCGAGACTTGCAGAAAAAGGAGGACGATATCCAAGAGACTCATTCGCGCAACACAAGAAGCTTTCGGCTTGGCTTTGTCATAGCGAGAGAAAGATCGGAGATTGAAGACGACAAACTCGGAGGTCGAAGGTTGGTCGAGAACAGGGAACATCACTCCAATTCATGTGCGCAATGCATCATTTTATTGCACCAAAGCTCGTTCTGAACCCATAGGGAAGGGAACGGGACGCGCAGGCGGACTGTTTGCATGTCTTGCTTTCTCGACAATGCATATCATTGTAGGGTCTGTGATGATGGTATATGTTAGTCGGATATCATTGACTTCACTCTCAGATCTCACTCACCTCACCACATCACCACACACAAGAATCCGCCGTTAGCATCAAGGATAACAAGAAACAGTCTGCCAGGTCACTGCGTGTATCACCCATGGTCAAGCTATTGCTAAAGCATAAGAGCACGTGTGATTCCACGATACATTGATGATAACTGGGGGTAGTAGATGTGAAATGTGAAATGGAAGTGAGAGATAATGATAAAGGGTAAGGGTAAGGGAAAGGTAAGATGATAGATGGGCAAGTTGAAGGAAGACAGCTTTTTTGGAGAACGAACGCGAAGAATGATATGCGTGAGAAGAGAATGGTTGTAGAAGGAAGAAGCAGGAGGTAGCGATCTAAGTATTTATATTTGGGTAGCAAAAGATGTTCAAGACTCATTGTATATGCGAACGACAAATGACAAAGGGTATGTGGATGGGGAGACGAAGGAGATGCACGGAGTACACGCAGTCACAATTGTGCTGGCTAAAAGCAAACATCTCATAGAACTAAGCTGGATAGTTCCAGGACCTATTTCTACAAGATTTACTACATGATGGTTTACAACTACACAGGAAAATAGATATGCACTCAAAAAATCAGAGAACTGTCTCTGTTCTTTCATTGCTAGAACTAAACTAGCAGCGACCTGGCCAGTCGGGATTGTCATAGTAGCAAAACCCAAACAAGCTCAGTCGATCATCATTCCGCGTCGCAACGTATTCATAACCGTGATTCAACATCAGCACGTAAGACCAAAGGTCAAGATATTTGGATAATCCCAAAGAATTTCAGGCAGAGGAAAGAAGAGGATGGACGTGAGGCGTAGGATATCTTAAGGCACGGCACGTCCATCGGGGTATTGGGGGATGAAATTTTATAGGAAATGGGTGGTGTAGATTGGGGTAAACACGCTTATTTGAAGACGTGGCCATCGGCCCACTCCTTGACGACGCCATCGACGGTGACGGGAACGTCCTGGGACCACATGTCCTCGACGAGCTTGCGGTCAGCCTCGTTGGTGTGGTCGAGCTTGGTGAACTCGTAACCCTCGAAGTCGGGGCCGACAGTGAAAGCGGGCTCCCACTCCTGGCCGCGGGTCATGTAGGCACCGTAGACGACACAGTTGTAGTTCTCGCCGTACACGGACTGGGCACCGAAGAGGTACTTGCGGGAAGCCTCAAGACGGGTCTGGAAGCCACCGATCAAGTTGTTGGCCATGAAGGTGAGCTTGAGCTCGTCGTTGTAACGGTAGTTGACCTTCCAGAGAGAGTACTCCTCGGGCTTGAAGTGCTCCCAGAACCAGGGCATGGCAACGGTGCGGGGGTCCTCGTTGGAGAACTTGCGCTTCCAGTCATCAAGGATGAGAGTGGGCTTGCCAAGAGCCTCGAGGGGGTGCTTGGCCTTGGGGGGCTCAGCGGCGGGGGCGTCAACGGCGGCGGCGGGGGCAGCGGGAGCAGCAGCCTTGGGCTTGGGCTCCTTCTTGGGGGCGACGTACTTGATCACCTCCTCAGTGAACTTGGGGTTGGGGAAGACAGCCTTGAAGGCGTCCTGGTTGATGAGGGTGGTGTACCAACGGGTGGTGGCGGGGTTGGCCTCGCGGAAGGTCTTGTCAAGGACGGTGGCGAAAGCACGGGTAAGGAGGGAGGCAGCGAAGATATCGGCCAGGGTGATACGCTCACCAACAAGGTAGGTGTTGGCAGTGAGGTGAGTCTCAAGGGCAGAGATGACCTTGATGGCAGCCTTGGAGGCCTCATCAACGGTCTTCTTGTTGTAACCATCGACACCCAAGAGAGGGCGGTACCAGGCAGCCAACTTGGGCAGAACCTCGGTGTTCAGGAAGGACATCCAGCGGAGGATGGAAGCGTAATCCTGCTTGGTCTTGCCGAGGAGAGTAGTCTTCTCGTTCTGGGAGGTGACTATGAACAGGACGTGTTAGTCAAGTTGCTTTGAAACTCGAGTGGATCCAACAATGGAGCAATTAGGGGCGCCAAATGGCACCATGTGTCAATTGCAAAAAAGGGGGGTGGTCGAGTCCAAATTTTCCCGCAGAGCGGGGTAGCCAATATTTTTTTCAGAGTTGTTTTTTCTCAACAGTTGTTATAACTTATAGTTATAATTCAGACAGGGATAACTAATGGTATCTCATCATCAAGAAGAGAGGCATAAAGATGGACCGAGGGGTGTGGTGGAATGTATCGAAGGGAGGAAATTTTCACATACCATAGACGGCAATGGCAATGACCTCAGACAGAGTGAAGCCATTGGCACCCTCGAAGGCGGGGATCTTGCCAGTGGGGTTGAGCTTGAGGTACTCAGCGCTGGTGTTGAACTCAGCGCCAGAGTTAGCCTCGGTCTTAACCAGCTCCAAGTCGAGGTCGTTGTGCTTAGCAGCGACCAGGATGGAGAGGGTGCGACCGTTGTCCTAGAATATATTAGACATTGAATCAAAGTAACAGAGTCAAAGAGAAACATACAGGAAGACCGTAGAGCTTTCCGAATGCCATCTTGAATGTAATGTGTGGAAGATGAAGAGAGAAAAAAAAAGAAAGAAGAGAAAGGAGAGGGGCGAACAAGTTTTTTGTGCTGGCGGGACCACCTCGGTGTTCGGAAGAACTGATCTTGCCGGAATCACGTCACATGACCCGACAAAAAACAAGACACTCGGAGACCATCAGCGGCCTCCATCTAGGACCTCAAATCCGAGTTCAAGCCGCCAATTCCCCGCCAATTCCACCAGCCATGGCGTGGCACAAACCAACCAGCCTCGCACAGGCGATGCAATCCCTCCGCCTCACCTCCACCCTCACAAAACCCTCAATCCAAGCCTCCCGAACAACCCTCAACACCCTCCGCACGCGCACCTACGCAACAGAAGCCGAATCCGTCCCCGCGGCTGCAGCCCCAGAAATCAACTTCGGCTCTTTCAGTCAAAAGCCCGCCCGCATCATCCCCTCCTCTCCATCCTACTTCTCCGGCAGCCCGCGGTTCATCGACCATGTCCTGCAGTTGGAAGCTCTGCAGGCGAAGCATGCCGCACTCCCTATAGTGGCTACCAGCGAGGCACCACGCATGGCATGGTTCAAGCTGGCCCAGTTCCGCGATTTCGTGGGCGAGCCCGTGCCCATGAAGAAATACAAGTCGCTAGTCAAGATCCTGCAGCGGTTGAACCGCATCGAGCCCGATATGGTTCCTACCGAGGTGCGCGATACTCTCGCCTCATTCTTGCGTCCTGGTAACCCGTACGCGGTGGAGAATGTTCCCCAGACGGTGGATGAGAATGGGCGCGCTCGCGGGAAGGGAAAGAGGAAGGAGTCTTCAGCTGTTGTGCAGCTTGTTGAGGGTGAGGGTGAGGTGCTGGTTAATGGAAAGAGTATTGTGGAAGTATTTAAGCGTGTTCATGATCGTGAGAGTGCGCTTTGGGCGCTGAGGTGTACACAGCGATTGGATAAGTATAACGCTTGGATTCGGGTGCAGGGTGGTGGTGTTACTGGTCAGGCTGAGGCGATTACATTGGCTCTTGGTCGGGCTTTGCTGTTGCATGAGCCTGGGTTGAAGGCGGTTCTGAGGAAGGGTATGTCCTTGCTTCCATCTTTATATCTCATTGCATTCCTGTCACAATTACTAACTTCAATTTCTTTACAGCTGGTGCTATCACAGTCGACGCCCGTCGCGTCGAGAGAAAGAAGCCTGGTCACGTCAAGGCCCGCAAGATGCCTACCTGGGTCAAGCGTTAAAGTGGTCAGCGAGATCACTCGAGCATTTCCTATTTCCTATTTGTTTCAATACTGTATTATTCCACCACGGCACCCCGAGTTCGCGACTTGTTTTATATCCTGTACTCTCAATGCATATGGGGCATCAATTCCAAGGTTTACATTGAATTTGAATTGAATGATTAGAGAAGCGTGTTGTACATCCCTGGGACCATTTCGTGGCCCACGGTTCTAATATTTCACTGAATACATGGTGGCAAGTATAAAGTGAGTGATGAAGTCCACCTGCGCATTTTATACATATTCGTCGTGTCCTAGCGCTTCTTCGCGTGCTGGAAAAGGTCGCAGGAAAATATACCAAAGATGCCAAATGATCCAGACGCCATCTTTCGTTATCCGGAACATTTTATTGGATCTAAGTTTGACAGTACAGATGTGTTAGCAGTAAGATGAATATGATGACTGACTATTACGCACCAATTAGGGCAAATATTAAGCCATTGAGCTCTACAACTTACAGTTTGAATAAGCACTAAACTTCCACCTCCAATAGCTTGCTACGAACCCAAATAGCAACCCTGAACAGTGAAAATAGTTCATATTCGATATCATAGATCGACTCCGTCTCAGATCTAACCAATCCTAAGGGTATGCTAGCTTAAGATACATATTCAAAAAGCCGAAAGTCAATATGAACCATTTATATCGTATGCCGAGGCAACAAGCAGCGTAGACTACTCAGACCAAAGAGAAAAGAAAAGAAACGACCCCAAACCCAAAATCCAAGCCCAAGCCCAATTCCAAAACGGGAACACAAAGATCCCGTTCCATTTTTGCGCCAGATGCCCTTTGCCCTTTTTTCGTTTTGCCCACGCTCCAATGCAAAGCCAATTCGGATCGATTCAATACAAATAATAGAGATGGTGATAGGATATAGGGGATGGAGAAGGTAGAGGTAAGATAGGAAAGAATAAGAGAAGCAAAAGAAAACCACCCACAGACAGAAGGCCATGAGACTATGTACAACTCGTCAAATTCGTCATTAGGGTATGTTAAAGGGTCAGCGGGGAAGACAAAGATTGCGATAATTGTGATTGTGATAGTAGTCGTACTTGACGGCAGAGGATGAGGTGAGGGTGGCCGCGGTGATGGCGAATAATGACGAGAAAGCGACAATGCATTCCACACAGCCACCTCGTTAGCCCGGTGAGATAGGCAATAGGTATAATTTAGATGAATCAAGCGCTGAAGGCCAAGGATAGAGGCAGCAAATGATCGCCCCTCATGAGAAAGGACCGGAAGAATGACCGAAGACGGAAGGAGGGGGCTGGTCGATCTCTCATCAGAGCGAATGGGAGATTGATTGGTGCCCAACGAGACGAGAGGTGACAGGTTACCTCTTCGCGATGTCAAATATCAACATCGGGGTTGGCGCGACGCTAGTAGGCAATAGCCTCCCCGTGGCGGTAGCGCTTGGGTGAAATTGGCTCAATGCGCAGTCTCCGATCGTCAGGGCACATGTCTTTCTTATTTGGGAGTGGACCCAATTTGATGTGACGTTTGGGTTATTTGTAATTTTTTTTTGCGATTTTCTTTTTCGGCTTTTTTCGGCTCTTCTTCTGTTTCCTTCTTGGGACTTGGTTCATGGTCGTGGTACTGCCGTGGCTTCGGGTCTAGCAGGGATGTGGTGGAGGTCGGGTGTATTGTCCATGAGATCAAGACATTGGCCCAAGACTGGATTTCGTATGATTAGAAGGTAATATAGGGGCATTGGAGTATAACGCAAACTCACCAGACAGTATTTCTTCTTCCCATATGCCCATTTGATAATCCACCAACCCGTGTGGTTCAAGTTGATCGCAAAGCTGGATTAGGTCTCTTCCCATAGTCTCCATGCGGTCTCGTCGAATTAGACTCGTATGCGCGGGTTGCTGACTTGTCGCAATCACTTCCATTATCAAATCCTTTTGCTTTTGACATACGGCTAGCCAGCATAGATTGAATTCGCTCCATAGCTTCAGACGGTCGGAGTACTGGATGCTGTCGTCATGAAGGAGACCTACATATCAGATAAGAAAGATTAGCCTTTCCCTCTAGGCCCACCAAGGTGTCAGATAATTCTTGCATGATGCATGCCTGCAGGCTCAGAAACAGTAGGGGGAACAGAACAAGAAAAAGAAGGGTCCAGTTGGGAGTGCGACTTCTGTGCTACTAGCCAAAGGCACTCATGGTAAACCGTAGACACTTGATCCTCTATCTTTTCCGACGGGGCAAAAAAAAAAAAGAAAAAAACGATAAGAAATAATGCCGGAGAAAAGAGTTCATCTTACCAAGATCGCGTGCATTGGTCACAAGCCACTCGGAAATTTCAATCAACGATCCTCCGGCCTCTACCAATCTTCCGGCTCGCATTTGATCAAAAGTGCGGCGCAAGATGCGTTGGTATCGTCCGATGGCCTCCTCCAGGCTGGGCTGATCCGACTGCTGTTGCTGGGACTCTGTTTGGGGCTGATCCAATCGGTTCATGGACCCGGAACCGATTGCAGTGAAATCAGAGATGGGTGCAGGAAAAGACTGAGCGGTGTTCGGGCGTGCCATGGGACCCGGTTGGTTATAAGGCTGGAGTTGCGCATTTAGATAAGGCGAGAGTCCTGCGACCCCAGACCCTGCAGATTCCTCTGGCGCAAAATACTGTGGAACAGCAAATTGGTTCGACAGGACATCAATAGCTGCAGACTGCCGTGTCTGGTACTGTGGCACAACCTCGAAGTGTCCTTGGGTTGGACCCTGCTGAGTGAACCCATACAACATGGTTGGATCATAAGGTGGGAATGCAGCCGGATCTTGAGGCTGGGCGCGCCGTCGCTGATGTTGAATAGCCGACGCTTGAGGTCTTTGAGCCCGTACATACTCCTGGGGTTGATAGTTCTGCAAGTCACTCGACTGCAGGGAACCGCCGTGGAAGGAGCTGCCTGTGTATCCGTAGTCGTAGGACATTGGGACTTGCTCCGGGGGTTGCGACATCCCCGTTTGGTCTCCACGTGGTTGTATGGCCGGGTCAAACCCATCTGTTGCACGACTAGGTGCTCTGCGAGCGGCATTTCCAGACCGAGACATTGACCTTTCATTCTGCTTCATACGTTGATCGCCATCCATGAGGCTGTCCCAGGATCGGTGCAGATCAAGCTCAGCCCAATGCTTGGGGGACAGCGGTGGGCTTGCGTAGTATGCCAGCTTGGATGATTTTTGAGGGTGATTCCAAGAATCTTTTTTCCACTGAACTCTTTCACCCTTGTTGGGGGTGGGGGAGAGAGATAGGAGGGAAAGAAAGGATGAGACGTGATCCTTGCGGTTCAAGTAGACATTCAAATCTTGTCCTCTGACGCAGCCGCGACACAGATTTAAGTAACAGAGAAAACAAATTAATAACACAATATGATTGAAAAGCAAGGGAAAAAACTTGAAGAAAAAAAAAAGCAGAAGAAGAAAGAAGGGGAAACAACCAGTATTATATGTAATTAGGCAGGAAAACAGGGCAAATTCAGGTAGATAGATAGATGTAGTAAAAAAGCAGAGTGATGGATCTGAAAAGAAGATGACGAGCTGATTGAAACGAAGTTCAGTAAGAGTAAGATAGATAGATCAAGTATATGTTTAGTCCAGTCCTTGAATGGGTATAGTATAGTATAAAAAGGGTATAAAGGGTATAAAGGGTGTATAAGAGTGGATAGTGATAGTATAAGAGAAATGAAAAAGGGAAACACCAAGGGGGAAACCGAAGAAACTAGGGCTTTTTCCGGGCGTAGAGTCAAAATATAATCAAAATATCAAATCTCAAATATAAAACATTCAAGCCCTAAAGTCATATAATATGATCGACGATCGAAGATCTACACCTAAACTCCATTTGGCGCTATAATCGGGAACCCGGCGCAATGGTTCTTGGCCTCGCGGGATTTTTGACATTTTTACGGCATTTAATAGATTTCTTTTTTTTTCTATTTTGTTTCTATTTATTTTTCTATTTATTTTTCTATTTATTTAGGGGTTCAGCTCTCGAGGTCAGGTGGTATAAATTTTTTTTTTTCTTCTTTTTTTTTTAACTCTCTTCCTTTCTTCATTTTCTAGTGTGTAACACTGTCTATGTTGCCTGGGGCTGATAATGAAGGAGAGTAAACATGAGACAAAATATTTTCCCCTTGCCTAGAATGTAGAAAGGGAAAGAAAAAAAGAAAAAAGCAAAAGTCCCTAAAGTATAACTAAACGCAACTAAACGCAACTAAACCAAATAGTTAGCCCTGAAGTAGGGAAAAAAAAAAAGGGGATGCTATTTACATTCCGGGGAGATTAGCCGGGCAGCTGCTGGAACTTCGCGGAGATGCATGATATTTGAGGCTGATATGAGGATAACATAATAATACAACATAGGGTAATAGGGTAATAGGGTAAGAGGGTAATAGTAGATAATAATAGTATGAAATAAGATCCAAAGTCATCTGATTATTGCATATACATGAAACTACCTCCCTCGGTACTACTCCGTAGTTAGTCCAATATAAATCAATTCAAATAGTTGTGGAGCATTGTTTGCCCGATTGGATCTGCAAAGCCCTGACGGCCACCTACATACGTCAGTTTCCTTTTCCTCGGGTTTCTGATTGCTCAGGTCTCAAGGGGGCGAAAAGCAATTATTGTCACTTCTGAAGTACTGGACAAAGGTATTTGTTTGTTTACTTACTTTTGACTATTTATGTTGTACCTTTAGACATACCAAATACCCTAATTGTCCCTGTCATATTCCACCTTAAACTGAATCCGACACTCTGGTTGAGATGGGGACAGTCCACTAGACTCTTCCTGCGGATGCTACCTCGAAGATCCGGCTAGTTTTTGTGAAGTAGACATGTTAATACTTCTCTCGGACCTGATCTGCCTACATATTAAACTTACCTATTAACATTGAATCTACGAAATTCACACCTCGGTACTCGTCGTGAGGGACCGGGTACTCCGGAGTTGGTTAATATGTACTTAATACTGGCGTATCTTTTAAATCGTCTACTCGCAACCCAGATTGAACCCGAAACAAGATAGCGTGGGGCAATATGCGGATGTACGACATATGGAATAAATCAAATCTTCTTGAAAGAAAAAGAACAAACTATCAATCAATTAAGCCATTGGACAGACAGATATACTCGCGTGTATTCGGTGCTTCTCGGTATATCGCCTGCAACTAGGAGCCCGACACGTTGGATAGACCAACCGGTAGCACAAGACATGAGGCTGGAACTGGGTATCATGGGCTTTGACATTCGTAATGGGGCGAAAAAAAGGCAACAATATTAATACATTGTTATTGTGTTATTGTTGAAACAATCGTTTTGCGAATATATATGTATGCTACGGAGTACTAGAAAACTACTAGAAAACTACTAGAGAACTACTAGACTAGTTGTATATATCCGACCGCGCCTAGAGCCATGACCTTGTTTCAGGTTTAGGTATCTTCAAACACGTCAGACGAAACATGCAGTAATATCGAATAATATCCAATCTTAGAATCCAAACAGAAGCTTGGACCAATAACTCCCTCTTTTACTCTCCCAATCCCATAACCAAGAGACTCAGACACAACATAACGAAGCAGGCATAGGTACTAAATCTGCAAGCTGAAACACGACAAACAGACTACTGCTACCTACATCGGATGTTTTATGTAGAGGGTAAGTAGACTGAAAGTAACATCACACCCCCTTCGATGTTCTCTCTTCCATTTCGTTTTCTCGTCCCCGTTATCCTTCCCTTCCCTCCCCCCCTGCCCTCGTAAATAAGAAAATTCCATTTTTCTTAATGGAAACCACCATTCCCTCGAAAGAACAGTGCCTCGCCTTGTACAACTTCCATCTCGGACTGCAGACCCAGCGAATCCAGTGCCTCGGAATTCCGAAATTATCGTCTCACCACGCTCATCCAGTCCGGTAGCCCAGTAAGGAGCACAGACGTCGCCGAGACGGGGGTGGACGATGAATGGGAGTGTTGTATAGATAATAGTGTGAAATGGGGATACATACATACATGTATGTAGTTAGTTAGGCACAGACGTACACATATATACTAGCGAGTATATACAGTCTGCGTAGACGAGAATCAATTACTCTGACGGTGATTGTACAATATACATATACCCAAGTAACTATACCCACTAGGTGTTTTTTTTTACCTTTTATCTTTATATTCCACACTTTCTTTTTTTCTTTTGATACATACCGGCGTGGCCACATGCACAGCCTACATATGTTGTATGCAACAGGGATGAGACGGGAACCAGGGTTCGGGAGAACGGCAAGAACAACATCGAACAACATGTTAGGTGCGTATGGTTTGTGTGTTGCAAAAGGTTAAGGCAATAGTCAGATGCACGATGCGCCATCATAACCCGGAAACCCCTGAGACAAACATAGATTTGTCATTGTGGCTGCTCCCGTACCTGACTTGTTGGTTGGGAGTCATCCGGTCCACGAGACGGCGGGCCAGAAGGAAAGGGATGGTTCGAGGGAGGGGAACTGGTGTTTGCCGAGGTTGGTTTGTTGCGGAAAATCAGGGTTGGTCTGGATGTGAACGGGGGTTGTTGCTCATGTGGCTGAAACGTCAAGGCTTTGTTTTGGGGTTGGTGTTTGTTGTTGGAGTTGTTGATTGAAGTGTGTTCCTGGCTAGACATGCTGATATGAGACAGGGACCGGGGTTCATCAGGTAAAGTTGTTGAGTTGTTGAGTTGAGAAGGCGTTGCTGTATAACTAGTTCGTGGAAGGGTTGAGGTGGCTGATACTGTACTTCCCTGGTTATATATAGATCAGCCCACTGTACAGATTATGCTTTTTACCCCCTTTGTAGTCTTTTTTTGTGTCTTTCTAGATGTATACAAGAAAGACACGACAAGGCCGTATAAGCGGCCGAGTATTCTTGTATGATATATTTTCGTTTTTCATGCATATACTTTTCAGTGTAGCAATATGCACCGCCATTGACAGCTGGAAGGAAGAAAGCTGGGAGAGAGAGGTCATGGGGAAGATAATTTCCATATGTCCTTCCCGTATCGGGAGAAAATAAACTACAAAACACGTCGCTGATCATTGAGTCATGTCATGTCGAGACCAAGAAAGAGAAAGCCGAGCACCAAGAAGAAACACCATCCACTGAATATATGTCGCCACTCAACCAGTGAGAAGGGCAATCAAATTTGATCTGGGCCATAGTTAGTACGAGAACCCCCAAGAAGACAAATCGGATCAAAACATACTCAGCGTCATACTGAGGCTCACGTCTGTATTCTCCACCATATCCGTGAACTCCTCGAAGCTAATCTTTCCATCCTGATCCTTATCAGCTTCCATGATCGTCTTGTCGACGATCTGCTGCAGCTGCACGTCCTTGAGGTTATTGCCGACCATCATCTTCAGCACGATGAACAGCTCGCCGTTGGAAATGTAGCCGTCGCGGTCAATATCGTACACCTTGAATGCGAACCGCAGCTTCTCTTGCTTGTTGCCCTTTGAGCTGAATGCTGACAGGCCGGTCACGAATTCCTGGAAGTCGACGTCACCGCCACCGTCTTCGTCGAAGATAGCAATCATCCTATCATAAGAGAGATATGTCAGGGACTAGTCGGTATATATATGCAGATTGTAGATCATAGGTGGGGGTGGGGGTGTGGATGTCCGGGGGATCAACGAACCTCGTGGCGAGCGGGTTGGACGACACTTGGGGCAGGGAGAGGAACTCATCACGGTCGATGGTGCCGGAGGCGTTCTGTAGACTGTTTAGTATGCGAGAATATCTCCAGACAACCTGTTCTGCGCAACCGACCTTATCCAGCTTCATGAAGCGCTTGCGCAGGCGATCAACTTCGTCCCGGTTGACTGTTGTCGCGAAGTCAGCCATAAGCCCGACCCATCGCCTTGACACCTTATCCGACCGTGGAAAACGTACAGTTGGATGTAGACACAATGTTATCGAAGAGTTGGGTGGTACCAACGGAGCCTCGGCGTCTCCGGGCATCGTAAATCGCAGCAGCGTTGGGCTCGTTAGGGGAGGAGGGCTGGTCCATGGTGGGTGGTTGGAGAGGGAAACGAGATGCAGCGAGGAGGTGAGGACGCGATTTATGGGATGGGGGGTAGCAAATAAAGGTCGTGGGACTAGTGGAACACTAAAAACAAAGAGCTAGATCAAAGCAAGACAGCAAACGAGGAGGCAGAAGAGTTGTTATTGCCAAGGGCCCGGGGAATCTGATATCGCCCAGCCCCGCACTAACCGCATACGGACAAGCAAGCGAGCCCCTGAGGCCGTGCACTCGGCCAAAACAGGCCACCGCCGGCTGACATTACAACGTCAACCCAACCGTTAGCCGTGAATCACCTCATCTTGAGTCGTCAATATCTCCCCCCCTCCATCAAATTTCATCTCAAAAATACGTCTACGAGAAAGCGCATGAACAGACCTTTCTGTTGATTCCCATTTTACCCCGTCCCCGCCCATGGTCGTTGCCCTATTGCGCGTCCCGACGCTATGACTCGGTACGGGGGCCTGGGGAGGACGCGCCCTAAAAAGCTCACCTCCAAGGCATCCATCCCCGTTGTCCGGGAGTCAGAGATCGATGCCATCGACGATGAAATCCAGAGCTCTCTACAACAGATCGAAACCGGTGTCGAAAAAGCCGAGGAGTCGGTGAGTCCCTGATTTTAGCCTCATCCCTACCCCAATCACGTGATACTATCGCCAAAATGACACGAGATTTTCACTCCAATATAAAATGACTCGCGCTGACCTCGGATCGTGTTAGGAAATTCACCTGCAACGCGCAATTAATGCCACTGCCCAGGGCAAAGTAAATGATGCACACATCCCTACTCCCGAGACCATTCTCAGTAATCTTCAATATGACGAACTCTACCCCCCCATCTTCTCGCAACCTGCGACGTACATTCGCTTCTCCTCGACCGTCGAGGATTGCTGCGGATGCCCGTACAACATGACAGACGAGGACGATGTCTTCTTTAAGATCATGAACCAGAAGCGCGACCCATCTGCTGGTCGTTGCACGGAGGATATCTTTGAGGAGGTCATGAATTTCTTTGAGGAGACGGCGCAGATGAAGCAGCCATACGCTTCCATCGATAATCCCCCGGTGCTATCCTTTGCAGAGATGCAAGATATGATGGATGCCACATTAGAAGATCCCATGAAGATGTTTGCCAAGGAGATATATGAGCACTGGAAGTCGCGTCGGATGGCTGTTCAAAATAACGCACTTGTACCGCAGCTCAAGGTAAGTTATTACCCCATGCCATTGGCCATGCGACATCACTAACTTCGACCTCCGCAGTTCGAAACTGGTCAAGACACCGATGACAGTGATCCATTTGTCTGTTTCCGTAGACGCGAGGTTCGCCAGATCCGCAAGACTCGTGGTAGAGATGCGCAGAGTGCCGAAAAGCTCAGACGTCTTCGCAAAGAGCTGGAAGATGCTCGCGAGCTCGTTGCTTTGGTGCGCCAGCGTGAAGTTGCCCGGAGAGAAATGCTCTCCATGGAGCGACAGCTCTTCAAGCAGCGTGCTGAGGTCAAGGAGATGAAGCGCAAGCTCAACATTAAGGACGATGACGAGGACCTCATCAACCAAAAGGTAAGCATGGGTCATCTGGTCGCTCAATATATGCATATGCTAATCATTCTCCCACAGCCGAAAAAGAGAGTGCTCGATATGCCACCCCAACGCCCCAATGCTCCTCAACTGCGCATGCCTCTCAAGGCTGGGCAGGGTGCAGAGGATTTGCAACTCCTGGAGGATGTCCAGGCCGAGAAAGAGAACGAAATTCTGCGCGATATCAAGCAGAACATCACCAAGCACATCAAGTGGAACGAGGGATACGTGGATCACACCCGTGCACCACTCTCTCCTTCTCCAGAAAGGATATTCGATGTGGCTACCTTCCGACCCGCATTCACGGCACAGTTGCCCACTCCCCCATCGTCAGAATCATCTGGCGAGATGGACACTTCCTTAGACGTTACCAGCCCGCTCTTCTCCAGAGACAAGCTTGCATCGCACGCCATGGAACTGCACGACGAACCACACCGGATGCCATCTTTCCGACGACGAGTTGGACGTGGTGGCCGTTTGATGATCGATCGTCGGAACATGGGAGCTCGTAAAGTCGAGATGGACCCAATCAAGGCCGACCGATTCAAGTTTGATCAAGAAGATTCCGACGAGGAGCACGATTATGATACCGATGCGTACAGCATCCAAATCATGCAGCACCGGGCTATCACCATGGCCAAGGCGCGCGAACAGGCTGCAGTGGCTGCCCAGGCTCATGCGCAGGCGCAAGCACAGGCAGCCCAAGCACAGGCTCAGCGACGACTGCTGGACCAAAATGGTCAGCACCCTGGATCTATGGGGTCGAACCTCGGACCGAGTGTCGTGGCAGTGTCAGAGACCTGAACAACTCTTTTCCCCTTTTCCCTCTTTCACAGCATTTGGCGGGCGTTTTCTTCGTGGCTCTGTTTTTCTCATCCCTTCGTCTCTTTGTCTTTTCCTCCTTTTACCACACTTGTAGTTTTATTACTCCCTCATGTTTCGATGATTTCCGCGGGCGGCGAAAGATGCCCGACTTCTCTTTTTTTCCTCTCGCGTTTCCGCCCACCTCTTCTCACACATCTCTTTCTCGACATTTCGTTTCGACGCAGGTGCTAACCACTCGTGGCTGAGCGCGTCTGCATTTGTTAGTGTACATAGTATCTTTTTTTTCCTCCCGAATCTCGGTGGTGTTGGCTGGTGTCGGGCAGCCTTTGTATGATGGATAACCGAAGTTATGATGCAAGCGACGAATGGGAGGGCAAAGAAAAAGGCTCAAAAACATTCAGAAAATCTAAAACAATTTAATCACTCGCAAAAATCACTTTTTTTTGGTTCTGTTGGGGTTCAGTAGAACAGACTGATTTCGGCCATAGTAAATGGCAGGAAGAGCAAAAGGCTTTCAAACTCTCTGAGTCTTGAACTGTCGTGAATCACCACCA